CTCTATTTTATATATATATATATATATAATAATATGCTCTATAATATGCTATATAATAATATAATATATAATATCAGAATGATCAAAACGATGATTTTGTAGCATGATAGTGCTTAACTATTAAAAATAATATGAAATAAATTAGAAATTAAATATGAAATTCATTTTCAATTTATTTTTCGAATATTATATTTCTATCTCTTGTTAAATTAATAATAAATTAATTAATATATTAATAATAAATTAATCAATAAATATTATTTAAATTAACAAGAAAAAAAATTAAAATTAATTTTCTAATAAATAAAATAAATAAAATAAAAAATTCGCAGAACAATTTAATAATTTTTAATTCGTTATTCTTTTTCTTTTAAAAATTGAATAAATTAGATTGTAATTTAAATTTTATTTATTTTTTAAACAAAATATTATACTATTTTAAATAAAATTAACAAATAGAGATACAAAATACAAAACACCTTCTCATATAATGCAGTGTCTCTCCTTTTTTTAAATTATTCGGCAACCCTCTTTTTTATATGACCGTTAATATGGTCGTTGCTCTATGACTCTACGAGTTAAAAACATATGGATAAAGAAGGATCGAGACACAGAAATAGGAAGGCCGTGAATCGATAAATGATGAGAATGGACGATCGATTCCATGCACACGTAGATATGTATATTTAATGTAAAGACTGATTTACATTGACCGAGATAATTTTGTCCACGAATTATATACAGTAAAGATATGCGATTATTGATTATTGAATATTAAAGCAATATTTATAGTATCGATATATCATTAAGTCGAATGAAAATGAAATAACAATGAAATATAAATAATAATTGTAAAAAAATAATTCAAAATTTATATAGAGGTTATCGATATATTTATGGAATATCTTTGGAAAGTTGAGAGGCCATAACAAATAAATATATGTACATATATATATTTACATATATATATAAAATAATAATAATAATAATAACAAAATTAAAATTAACAACAGAGTTCAATCTTAAAAATATCTAAGAAGATTTGTATTAACGAGGATGATAATTATATTATATTCAACGCTCGTGAAACAATTGGCTATTTTAGCGCAAACTAATTTTTTTTTATTTTTTTAAAGTCATTAAAACGCAAAAAACTTCTTCAATTATTTTTCTCCGTTATTTACATACATAATTAGATAATTACAAAATGTTCTTAAAAATTCATAAAGTAGATTATATAAAAATACATAATTCAAATATATAAGAAATTGCTAAGATTTTGATCTCTTCGGTTTTGATCTGGAAATCTTGATTTTAACACACATTTCTAGACTTTGATTTCACCGGAAATATTTCTAGGTTGATAGAAAAAATGATTAATAGTTTCTTAATTATAAATTATTAAATTTATTGATTCATAATAAAAAAAGATATTTTTAATTATTTTAATTTTGTTTCTATTTTTTTTTGTATTTATAAAATTACTTTATTGTTAATTATATATGTATTTTATTATTATAAAATTTAATTACATTAACATTCTTTTGTTTGTCTTTTCCGTTTTTAAATTTTTATTCATATTTTTGTATAATAATTCATAACATTTGTGAATTTTTCAATAGAATAGAGTAGTAACTTTAGTATAGAAACTATCGACAGATAGTAATATACTTTGTAAATCATGCAACTTAGTCAATATAGTTAGACATCAAAAAATATGAAATTATGAATGTACGATATTATTCACGATACAATCTGATAACATTACCTGATTCTTTTCTAATTTTGATTCAGAGATTTCGGATTTTGTTGATATAATTTGATTTTTATTATTTGATTCTTTTCTAATTTTGACCCAGAGATTTCGGATTTCAAATTGATAAAAAATATTATTAATTTTCTTAATTATAAATTGTTATGTTTCTATAATAACGTATAATAAAAAAAAATAATTTAATATAATATATAATAATATATGATAAATATCTTAATTTATTATCATTTAAATTTAACATTTTTATTATTCCTTTCTAATAAAAGTTTTCAATAATGAATTTTTCAAAATATTATTATGTAATTATACACATTCATATTTTGTTATATAAAAAATTTTAAATTCTTTTAATCTCTGAATTTTAATTAAAATTAAATGGTAATAACATTCCGAATTTTACAATAGAATAAAAATAAGAATAATTCTATTACTAACATATAATATATAAAAATAATTTGTTTATAGATAATATCTAAATGTAAATCAGCCTTAATTTGTGAGGGGCGTATATTCTCAGATATCCATCATATCTGCATAAATGATAAGTATTAATGTATATGTAGTATTTATTTGTATAATCTCACAATTTAAAATTGGCTACAAGTCATATATATGCATAGTTATTAAACACTTAAAATTCTAATCTTTATTTTATATTTTTCAATAATGACGCTTGTAAAAAATAAAAGATGAAAGTTAATGAAAGATAAAAAATCAAGAATCCAAGCATTTAAAAAAATTTATATTCTATTGTTTTGGTATAACATTATTTACTTCACTGGTTCCATGTTAGGTTAATTAGATTAGGATTATATTAATAAAATTGACTTTTGAGAATATATCCGAAAAAATCTCGAGCTATAATAATTAAATTTGTATTTATATAAATTTATAACAATATGCATAAGTATCTAGTTCTTTCCATTTTGTGAAATGTTTTTCGCGAAATGAACCAAAAATATTCGTCAATGGAAAGATTGCGATCGATCTTACTCGGTATTGGATAAAAGCCATAAATATGTGTGAGTCGCGTGTCTACCGCGTGTTGATCGCGTGTTGATCGCGTGTCACAAATAATGTCATATTTCGATGCTCAATACGGATCATTTTTCCGTTATTGTTACCTTAAAAGCTAATGCAATTCAAAACTTAAACTAACCTATTTCCATTGATCGAAATGTTTAATTATAATTTTTCCCATAAGAATTCGTTTGAAAAATCAATCATGTCATGAATCTAAACAATTCAATTATTTCAACTTTTTATTTATATACGTATTTTACATGGAAGTAGAAACAAAAATAAAAGATAAGATGATGTGAGAAATAAATGAATCTAAAATAATTGCAACTAACCAAGATTATTTTGATGAAAGATAATTAGCAACAGTGATTAAAATGTTGTCGATCATTGAATGAAAATCATTCGTGTTCACATGTATTGCATTTAAAAGATAATCATCTTACCTTTTTCGTTTGGTAAAGCTTTCGATCTCGAAGAAGCAAATGGATTCTTCTCCAAACGTCCAAACGGCCGTTTTGTATCCACGCTAAACCGAATACTTCTGGGCATTCTACACCTTCGTCTTCAAGATATTTCTGAAATGTCAGAAAGAAATCACTGATCAAACAAATTCACGATCGAAAGATCGTTCGCACGAAGTTGTGTCGACTTGAAAATCGATCGATTTTTCACTCACTTGTAATGTGGCTTCCGCTTCGTTCAAGGCGTCCCAGTCTTCCGCAAAGACGGCTGGAATCTTGATCATCTCAGTGGGAGAGAATAGCTGAAACGCGCAACTCTTCTTTATATTCTTTGAAAATGATTCAAGGTAAACGCGTCACGATAATGGATTCACGCGAATTGCAGAAACGTTGCAAGAGAGCGAAACCATATGTACTTTCGATATACGCTGCGTATTGGTGTTTTATATCAATCGGTAAGAACAATTCTCGAATCGCAGTCGATAAAGTAGGCTGTTATTCTTATATAGAATATAGAACTAAATTACCAACCGACCGAATTCATGATAATGTATACCAAAATTTCGTAATCATCCCGGTAATTCGACGAATGCGAGTTTTTATCGCTTCCGTGTAGATTAATCAATTAATTATTAGTTATCTTATGTTACACTGACGTAAAAGGAATGCGAGGAAATGTAAACGAGTGATATGAAATTGTTACGAATGCTGTTACGATCTCATGTTCGAATTAAGATTTAATTATAAGTTTAGTTTACAATAATTAATTAATATTTGAATAGTATAATTATATGAGAGATTATTATTCTATAGATTTGTTTATAATAATATTATGAAATTGATTGTTTTTTAATAAATTAGGACACTTATTGTAGTATAATATTTAATATTTTATTTACTTAATGCATATGATCTTTTGTACAATAAGCAATATATTAAATGAAAAAAATGATGAAAGTTATCGTCACAAAGATATTCAAACCAATTTACGTAAATCTTATATTTATGTTTATATATTACACTGTTCACTGGCGATAAAATGAACTGAAAACAATGACAAGAAATGAACTGTTATACTATTTTTACGATGTTACATTTTTTAATTTATTCTTTATTATATATAAAATATATGCATGTTAAATAAGTTCAAATATATCAAAAAAACAATCAATTTAATAAAATTATGATAAATAAATATATAAAATAATAAACTTTATCACATAATATGAATATTAATGTAAGTTATTGTATAATGCACAATAGAAGAAATACGTTTTGATTTAAATACTCACCTTTGGATCATGGAAAAACTGATACTTAAAATAATCTTGACGGAAAAAAAATTTTCGTGATCGCTTAACAGAAAATGTTTTCATCTCTCTATGCACAGCCAAAATGTCTTCGTGATCTTCTAATGTACGTTCTGTAATTTTGATTTTTATTTCTATTTTATTTTATTTTTATATTTTATATAGTTTTATAATATTTTATTTCTTTTATTGTCTATACAATCTTTTCTTATTTATTTTTACAATCTTTTAAGAATGATATTCATATTCAAATTAATTCGTTTTATCTCAAATTAACTTGTCTGATCTTTTTTATTTATTTTAATAATAAAAAAAAATTTTTATTAACTTTTATAAAATAATTTAATTTTTAAAAGTTTTTTATCTGATAATAAATAAATCAGAATTTGAGCAATTATGTACATTTTAATTAAGTTATATTTATAACATGGATTATGGAACTTTTTTAGAAAAAGTTTTTATATTATAAGTTTCAATGAGAATAGATAAAAAAATTCTTGAAAATAAAAGTTTAATTTTGGATGGAACTTATAAAATATAAAATTTTTCTATTAAAAGAATAGATTTTTTTCATTAATATTAAAAAAGTTTTTCATTTTAACAAATATTCAATATTCAATACAATTCATAATTACAACAAAAATACATATATTAAATACAACAATAATACAAAAATATGCAAAATAATAATATTAAACAACATATTAAACAACAATATTAAATAATATTTTTTATTTTATATGAAATCATATTAATAATATGATATTATATTGTTAAATAAAAAATAACTAATATCTAATAGTTGATAGTTTTATTTGTTATGGAACTTTTTCTAATATGCATTCTAAAATAACTTGTTTTCATTATACTTTTATTATACTTTTATTATACAGATTATAAAATGTTCATAAATTTCTTTCTATAAAAATTCCATAAGAAAAAATATTTTTTTAAAAAATATATGAAGTGTACAAGATATCAATATATTCATGAATGTTAATGAATCAAATATTCATGAAATATTATATGAATATTTGAAAAATTAATTCTAAAGATTAAAACAAACACAAAAATTTGCAAAGTAGAAATATACAAAAATATCAATTAGAATTTTTTCATTTCACCATTTGATATTTTTATATAGCAACTTTTGTCTTTGTTTTGGCTTTTTGAATGAATTTTGCAATGATGTCTCACGAATAAATTAATACTTTATATAAATTCAAATATAATTTTTTTGAAAATTAAAATAAGAGTATTATTTATCTCAATGAAATAAATAAACAAACAAATTTTCGTAATCAATCAAAATAATTGGTTACCTATTTCTAGCTCTGGCCAGGTTTCTACGATCGTCCAATCGATTTCAATAGTATTTTTTTTCCTTTTAAGAATTTCGCACAAATCGATTACGCGAAGATTCATCTCAACGATCATGTCGTAGGAAGTATCATCATCGCAGTAAAATCGCAGTTCCTCCGTCTATGAATCAACAATAAAAGATAATTTTTTTTTATTAATTAAAATATTGATTTATATACAGATTTATATTACAGATCAATGTTTCTCTTTCCGAATTAATGATATATTTTAAAAATATATTTAAAAAAAAATATATTTTAATTTATCAGATTTAATTATAATTTTTTAGATGAACAAATTTTTATTCGCTTTCAACAACATGTAATATATTTTGATATTTATTTTATTAAAAAAATTTTAATAAATATATCACTAAATGGATCACTCACAAGCTAAATTGATTATTAATTCATTTCATTCTGAAAAATTTTAAATTTTTTCGCCAAAATATGTAATTAATATTTTTGAATCAGATTTAATATATATTATGTAATATATATTAATAAATAATTTAATATATATTATGTAGAATTGTACATATACAATAAATGTAATTAAATAAATATATATTTATATATTTATTTATAACTTAGAAATCAATTGACAAAATTTAATTAGTAATTTCTAATTTTGGAATCGTTATAATTTTTTTGAAAAAAAAAATATTTTTACATCTGAATCGAATTTTCCCGATATATTTTCTTTTAAAGTTATAGCAATTCAAAAATCAAAAAAATCAAATAATATATATATATGTTTTGTACATGTTTTTTAATTTAATTTACAATATATATATTCGAAATATTTATATTTCAAAAAAACACAGTTTATTATAAACACAAAATCTTATAAATCATAGGGAGAAATAAAAATATTTTGTTTAAAAAATCCATAATATTTTCCTTAATCGTGATTCATCGGAAAATACTGATATATACTCAAATATCATCTCACAATTGCAAGAAAAATGTTAAATGATTTGAATCATCAATAAGGACATTAAATTAAAAGTTCATGGTTTAAAACTCATTTAACAAATTCTAGTAATAACAAGTACAAATAACATTGACGTTTTCTTTATTTAATAGAAAAGTCCAAATAAGAATCATGTCATTTTTCCAGTAAATATATAACATATTTAAATATGATGAAATATGTAAAATAAAATAATTTACCTGTTTTTCGTCATCTTCGCTTTCGTCTGATTGTTGAGCGAATTTTTTTGATGTGCAAACACGGGCAAAAGAACAGAACAGATTCTTTTTTGGATTCAGTCGTTGGTAACTGCATGCAGATTGACCAAGGAATGAGCTATCAGTCTCCATGCACGAACACATCTTTGGTAGCCAATCTAAAAAAAAATGAAAGAGTAATTTATAAAATATTTATATATATTTATATATAATTAGATAATTTTATATAAATATGTTATATTATATATTTATATAAATATATATATAGTATATATAATTTATATAATATATTTATATAATAATAAATATATTTATATATTTTATAAATATATTTGCAATTAAATAATTTTATATTTCATAAATTATTCATAATGATTATTTACATTTAAATAATTTATTTATCATTTTTCAAAAGAAATTTATTTATTTATTATTTATTAATTGATTTTTGCTGAATTTATTAATTTTTCAATATATAAATATTTATACTGTTATTATTTTTGGTTAAAACTATTATACGTCTATTACTTATTATTTTTATTATTATATTTTATATTTTTATTATTATATTTTATATTTTTATTATTATATTTTATATTTTTATTATTATATTTTATATTTTTATTATTATATTTTATATTTTTATTATTATATTTTATATTTTTATTATTATATTTTATATTTTTATTATTATATTTTATATTTTTATTATTATATTTTATATTTTTATTATTATATTTTATATTTTTATTATTATATTTTATATTTTTATTATTATATTTTATATTTTTATTATTATATTTTATATTTTTATTATTATATTTTATATTTTTATTATTATATTTTATATTTTTATTATTATATTTTATATTTTTATTATTATATTTTATATTTTTATTATTATATTTTATATTTTTATTATTATATTTTATATTTTTATTATTAATATTACATTTTTGTTGCTCAAATAATCTTACTTTCTCAAATAATCAATTCTTCAATTTTTCTAGATATGAATATAAAAATTTGAAAATATCGAATTGAATTTTTTTTTAAAATAAGTAAAATTGAATAGTGCTTGATCAATCGATATGTTTATATATCACGAGATGTTTATATATATTTAAAATTTTTGTATCAAAAATTAGAAAAAAAACAATAAAAATATTATTTTTAATTTGGAACAAAATAAAAAAAAAAATATTATTTTTTAAAAATTTTGAAAATTAAATAAAAATGTATATTTAAACAAAAATAATAATTCTTCTAAATTAAGATAAAATTAGATAAATAAAAATTCAGATAATCTTTAATAGAAATAAATTGAAATATTAAAAAAAGAATTTCAATGATAGTCTTGAATGCAACAACACAATCATAACTTATTTTCTTTTTTTATAATTCCATATCTAAATTTCTTTCTATATGATCAATAAATATGACAAGCTTGTTGTGACTTACATTTTCAAATTTTACCTTTATCATATCTTTTTTTTCTTTTCTTCTTTCTTCAAATTTGTTTTTAATATCTAAATTTGTAATGTAATCACTTTATTATTTAATAATAAATTTTAAATACTTCATATTATTATCAAATTATATTTTACTTTTTTCATAAGAACATAATAAAAACATAATACAGTTCAAATTACAATTAATATTCAAAAACTAAAATCATTATATAATAATTTAACTTTTTACAATTCTTTAAAATTGTAAAATAAATTAGAATAAATTCTATTGAAATATTCACATCGAAAGATTTCCTTTTGCAGCGGAAATAAAAAACTTTCATTAAAAAAGAAATTATAAAAGATCATTATAATTTTAAATGAAAAAAATCATTATAATTTTTATTCCACTTAAGTTTCAAATAGTTATAGATCTCATTATGTGTATATATAGATCTTATTAATGTATATATCAAATATCATATGTATCAAAATTTAATATTTCATTCTTACTTTTTTTTTTATTTTTAAAAAAAAATAAAAACATAAAAAGTAACTACTTTAGATTTCGCATTTTAAAAAAGTTCAAATTCAGGCAAATTTATTTCAAATAACAAATTTCAAAATAAATATTTCAAATTATTATTTGGTAAATAATATGTTTTAAAAAATTAATTGTTATTCGATAAATATTATATTTCAATTTTGATATTACGTTTTTTATTTATTGAAGTAACTAATAAATTGAAGAAATAAAGTTTATTGCTTCATTCAAAATTTATTTTTAAATAATATTTAGAATAATTAATAAAATTTATTCAATTAATAAAATTATTGGAGATTTATATATTTTCAATTATTAATAAGCTGATTGATTAATTTATTTTTCATTTGTAAAATCATCTATAATAAGTATATCATTTTTTCATTTATTTCTACTGTTTCATTGTTCTAAATAATTTAAAATATTTTATCGAAACAGGATTATTATAAATTCTTTTTTATATTTATTTTTATTTATTTTTATTTTTATTATGAATTGAATATTAATTAGTTTTTCTTTTATATAATTTGTCTGCTGAAAATAAAAAAAAATCTGATTTTTTTTTTGTAATTTTATTCTTTTCATATTTAATTTTATTCTTTTCAAAATTATTTTTATTCAAAATATTATTAATTTTCTTTTCATACTTTTTGTGAAAAGAATTCACAAGATTATTAAAAAGAAAACAGAAATCAATTTCATAAATTAATTATAATTAAAAAGACATAAATAATGATTATAGATAATTATAAAAAAAAAAGATTTTCAATATATTTCCAATTCTTCAATTTGGATTTTTTCTTATTAATATAAAATAAAAATAATTGAATTTGATTTTTATTTGATATTATATATCATACATAATAATACAATAAATATTAGCTATCCGTGAAACTTCCTATAGCAATTGTGTAAGTTTCAACATTTTAGTAGTTAAGGATTAAGATATTAGTTA